GAAATGATGGCAGAGGGTGAAATGCTAGAGGGCTATGGTCAGCTTCCTTTGTCTAAGGCCCTTTATGCCAGGCACCCCTTTCTATTTTCTAATTGAGAATCACCACTTGGTCCATCTAAACTCAACCATGTCTCTCGGTGAAGACATAACTAAAGAAAAGAGGAATTAAATGATGGATTAGAACATTTCCACTTTATACCCAGTCACATGGTGCTGACTGGGAAACAAGAAGGAAGCAGAAAATATGTATTTTGTTCTCTAGAGTCAGAAAATAGTTGGCCAGTAAGACAGCACGGAGTTATGGCTAGGCTCCTGTGGAGAAGACTTTGCTCCTCTGTACACTGGATGCTGAATGGAGTCACTGCAACCTGGGAATTCTTCTTAGGTCCTGGTCTCACACTGACATGCATGTTCAGGCCTACCAATGCTCAGAAAGTAACATTTCCTGACATGGTTTTAGAGCTTTAAGAAAAAGTCAAAATATTTTTTTTGACAAAGTGCCTAAGGGTGCCCTATGTGAGTCTATAACCCATACAGCCTGGAAACCTATACAACCATGGAAACTCTGCTCAGGTCTGGACTCATAGCAGAAAACAGATGAGATGCGGTCCTCATGAATGACTTACATGTCTTCAGACACAAGGTTTTTAAAACAGTTGCAGAGATTTGACTCAAAAGACCTATGAGTCTGTCTTGCTTAAGACTCCACACTCCATAAATTTTGCAAGTGTAAATTTATTCACTACAATATGCTGTTAATCAGATAATAAGGTAGCGGATACTGCATAAAGGATGTAGATTAGCTGAGCACTTTGGAACATTTTTTTATAAAGTTGTTGAGGAGCTGTGAGTATGAGCACTTACAACAGTAAGTGCAGAACCTGAATTCAGAGCATCAGCACCCATCTGAAGACCCACTAGGGCTCATGTGTGTGTTTGTAACCCCAGTGCTGGAGCGGGAGTAGAAATGAGAGATTTACTAGGGCTTTGGGGGCAGCCATTTAGATTAAATAAAATGGTGAGATCCAGGATAATGATTCTATCTCAAGAGGATAAGGTAGATTGTTAATGTGCTGTGCTAAAAATTATTTTCAATTTGTAGATGGGAAAACACAGACAATATAAAGTTTGAATGGTTTTGCTACCTATTTGTAGCAAAGGAAATTAATGTGAAATATCTCTAGAAGTCTAAAGTTGTTTCCTTTGTTCAAAGACATCTCTTTATTGCTGAACCTTCATTACTAATTATTTCAAAACCATGTTTGTGAGTGTGTAAACCCTTTGTTTTGGCAATCTGACAAATAGCCATCCTTACTCTAATCTCTGTCTCTCCCTCCCTCTGTCTGTCTGTCTCTCTCTCTCTCTCTGTGTGTGTGTGTGTGTGTGTGTGTGTGTGTGTGTGTGTGTGTCCAGTTTAATCGACTGACAGCTCCACTCAATTCCCTCTCTGGCTGTAGAGGACCAGTGAAAAGCAGGGCTCAGTAGGGTGCCATCCCGAAACAGTGGCCGACTCTACTGTGTGCAGCTACAGCATACCAGCTGGAAGTTTAGACTTTTTTAAGCAATAGGATAAGCCATCAACTCTAGTTCAACTCATCCTCTGGAGAAGACTAACCAATAACATTCCAATTCCTAGAAAAATGGGTCTCTGGGAAATCGAGATGCTTAACACGTTACAGCATGAACAGTTGTTGATTTCACTGGACTCTTCACATAACAGTGTCCTTGTCTGTAAACTGTTTGCCAGGCTAAAGGCAAAGCTGTGCGCTCAGCTTAGAATGTATTGAAAAATTAACTACAGAGCCTTGTGACTCCTTTTGTTTTATTTTATTATTAGTAGTAGTATTATTATTATATTTAGTTGTTAATTTATGTCTCTAATTACGAAGTGTTGCCGTGGATCGTGCTGACGAGGTGGAAAGGGTTCTGAATGGCAGCACGGTCCATGACTCCACCGTTTTCTCCCACTTAGCTGGTAGAATTGTAAGCAAGTCGAGCACATGGGGCCCTGAGACAGAGGCTGCTGGGTTGAGGCTGCGGCTCATCCAGTGCTGAAAGGTTAAAGGTCATCTAAGCTTCGAGTGTTCAGTTTAAATAGTATGGATATAAAACAAATCAATTTCCATACAAATAGTATGGAAAAAAACAAATCAAAACCTCATTTGAAGAGTTCTTTTGGAGATCAGTGGAAGTAAGCTAGATGGCATTTTTGAAACTAAAAGTTTCAGGTTCATGCACTCTAAGCACTAGAGAATCCTATGTGGAGTACAGAACCTGTAACAACAGAGGGCTTAATGACTCTCTTTATTTTGCTTGTTAGTAACATAGAAAGGGCAGAGCAAGAGAATGGCTTACTTAGCAAAGCACTTGCCTCAGAGACACAAGGACCTGCAGATTTTGCTCCCTAGAAGCCACATGAAAATGCAGGGTGTTGTGGAATGTGCCTGTAATCCAGCACCAGCAGACAGACACAGGCGTATTCCTGGGGCTGGCTGACCAGCCAGGCTAGCCTAATTGACCTCTCCTCAGCTCCAGGCCTGTAAGACACCCTGCTTCAAAGGACTGCCTGAGTTCAGGGGTGACATGATAATGCCTGAGATTCTCCTTTGGTCTACACGCATGCACACCCACGCATGCACCCACAAATACATGTACACACACATAAAAGAGTAACACGTGGACATGCACACATAGGCACACATACAAAAGTCAAATTATAAAGAAAATCGGGTTAAATGTTCTTTTTCTTGCATTGAAGAGCTCAAGACTAAAATCATGTGGGGCCTTCTTGCCCACCCGAGCCTGTAACCAAGCTAGGCAGCCAGAGAAAACTACGCAGGGGCATTTCAACTCCAAACACAAGCTGGGTGTGAAGAGTTTCAGGCTGCTTTGTCTCATTATTTTGTTTCAGATTATTAGAATGACAAGTGAAAACATCCTATTTATTTATGTTTTGGCAGAGACTACCAAGAGAAGCCATGCATATAAAACTCATACATGTATAAAAATATCGCAGATTTCTGTAGCACCAGATGAATACAATTGTTAATTTGCTATTTAAGTCAGTGAACTTTTTGCTCTGCTTCTTCTGGAAGTTAAAATAGACTTGTAGCTGGCTGCTTCTCTTTAGAAAGTTGGCCAGCATCTCAGGATAACTAGTCTTTTTTTTTTTCTATGCTCCTAAGGTGAAAATCCTGCCATGCTTTAAGGATTTCAGCTTTTGGTCCCACAGCACTTTGTTTCTTGAAACAGCATTTTTTTTTTTATTTCTGTACAAAGGTGTGTTAATACAAATATAAATTAAAGGCTCACAAACACAGTTTGGGTTCTTGGTCAAGAGCCTTGATTACAGTTTTAGTCTTTCCTTTCTTCATTTTCACCTCTCAAATTCAGCCTCCATGCTTAAAGTAGGGATGGATGTTCACATGCAAACAACTGTTTAAAACAAAAAGAAATAATTGAACCTGGGCACGAGGGTCCATTATTTTCATTCTAGCACTTAGGAGGCAGAGGCAGGTGGATTTTTGTGAGTTCCAGGCCACCTTGGTCTAGATAGCAAGTTCCAGGCCAGGAAGAGCTACAGAGACAAACCTCACCCCAAACAAACAAACAAACAAATAAGAAGTTGTCATTGAGCATTGGTCTTCATTGTCAATAACTCAGCTGTTAGTCTGATTTTTTTTTCTGCAGGTTATAAGGAAAGTTTTATTCATTGATTGTGAGGAGAATCTCTTAGCAGTTCCAAGGAGCTGCCACTAGCCAGGATCCATGAGTGTTCTCGCTCTCACTGTCTTCAGCAGTGGGCACCGAGCAGTTACCAAGAGCAAGTCTCAGGCCATGGCTGGTAGCATGGTCACCCCGAGCCCAGCTCTGCCTCCGGCTACTGTTAGTTCCAGCTGGAACTCATTGCACTCAGACTAGCACTGGTCAGATGTTTGGCCTTCAGGGTAGTGTTTGCTTGTCTGTCCGCTTTAATTTCTATCAGTTCTAAGCCTAAAATGAAAATCAGAGAGTTGCACATGAAACTGACTGTCTTACCAAAGAAGAGAGAGAGCAATTAAGGACACAAGATAGTCCTTACTGATCCCAGGCAGAAAGTGCACACTGATATCATTACACAATCGTGGAAACGCAAACCACACATGGGGCATGTAGCTGGGAGACAGAGTGTTTGCCTAGCGTGTATGAGGCCCTACAGTTTAAATGTCATGTATGGTAAAAAAGAAAAAATAATATGAAAAATAAAAGAAACATGATTTAGCAATGTAAAGTCATCAATTCCATATATATATTATATTATATATATATATGTATATATATACATATATATATATTATTGCACAATATATATATATATATATATTGTGCAATCGGTTAGCACGCAGTACTTATACAACAGCAATCAGTTTTTGGGACATACTTGATTATAGTTTTAGGTGACATACATGGCCACCCACACCCTGCTCCTGGAAATCTACCCCTCCCTCTCATTCCTCCTTCCCCACGTCTGTTATTTCTGCCCCCTGCTCAGGACCAAGTGAATGCAGGTCAAGACAAGAGGCTCTGCCTTGGTTAGCAGTTCTGGTCATAGGATGGCCATAGTTCAAAGGAGTTCAGTAGTTTCCAAGTAAGCCAGGTTCCATTCATCCAGAGATATCCAGAGAGAGAGTGCCAGCCAAGGAGCCATTGAGGTCAACAGGCATATAAACAAAGGCTTGGGATACCTAGAGTGGTTATAATATCTCTTATTTGAAAAAAATAGAAATTATTTCTAAGAAAAAATTCTTTCTCAGTTTGTGTATGTTTTGTGTTAGGAATTTGTTAGCCATTTAATAACTCTTTTTCAGGCATCTTTGAGGTCAACTCTGCATTCTATATTCCATGTACAGAACTATGTTAACACCTATGACTACAATTTGCTTGACTCTAAGTGTAGTGTGCACAAGGTTATTCCTACCTGTGTCATTCAGGGTCCTTCTGTGTCCTTTTGTGTCACTCAGCTCCTGCTCAACTAAGGTCTCCCACGGTGACAGGAGTCAACAGCACCACCGTCCGTGTCAGGTGGCTCCCCCCTACAGAAGTCAATGGCCCACCCCCTCTGTACTGTCTGGAGAGAAGGGTGTCCCAGCTCGCAGCTCCCATGGCTGCCATGACAAAGGGAACCTGCTTTGTGGGAGATGGGTACTGGAGGTTTCCCAGAACGGCTCACCCAGATTTTATAGGTAAGTGGATCTGACACTTTTATTTGAGAAGTGCTACGCCCCTAGGTGTTGTCTATTATTTTGATATCTCTTTACAATGAATTTTTTATGGTGGCTATTTATAGAAATATGAGCTCAGCCTTTTTATAACAGTAGCCTGATTGTGTCAACACATCCATCTCTTTAGGATTGTTTGGGGAACGGATAGGAGGCAGGTGAGGAAAGGAAAGAGTGAGAGCCAGCCTCGTTGGATCAAAGTATGTCCTCAGGCGGCCTCCATCACAACACATTAGACTGTGCTGTGCCCTGTTCGTGAAAGGGTTCGAGAAATGCCTCATGCCTACTGAGTACACGTGGTCACCAAAGCTGCGCAAAGACTCAGAAGAAACATATTTGCCATCACCGGGAAGGGGGTGGGGGGAGGTTGCATCATGCCCCTGGTGGTTGGTTTGTTTTGTTGCTACCTTTGTAGTCGAGTCCACAGAAACTGTTAGTATCACCCAATCAGTGGGAAGCATTAGAGAAAACAAGTCTCAGGGAAATCACCTTCTCCAGGCAGACACTGGTGAATCCAAGAAAGTTCCTGCTGCGGGCACGAAGTTTAAAGTGTTGAAGACTTGATGTAAACAACAGTGAGGGCAGAGGTTGAAAATCAGTGAGCTAACCTACGTGTGTAAAGGAAGTTCTTAGTCACTGTTCTATGAAGCCATAAAGCCAACTCTTCCCTGGTTGAAGACAACTCAAACATGACAATACAACTCTTACAAAGGAAAACATTGAACCGAGGGCTTGCTTACAGCGTCAGTGGCTTGGTCCATTTTCATCATGGCTGAAAGCATGGCAGCACACAGGCAGACATGGTGCTGGGGAAGTAGCTGAGAGCTACATCCTGATCCTCAGACAGCAGGCAGAGAGGGAGAGAGATAGACACTAGGCCTGCTTTCGGCTTTTGCTACCTCAAAGCCCACTCCTGGAAACACACCTCCTCCAACAAGGTCACGCCTCTGGATCCTTGCCTGACAGCTCACCTGGGGACTAAGCCTGTCAATATAAGAGCACATGGGGCCGATGTCAATCAAACCACCAGAGTAAGTCTGAAAAACATTTAAAATAAAAGCAGACTGCACCTTCCACTCACATGGCCATAGCTCCCATGCCTTGGGCTTCTGACCTCACTACGTCTAGGACAGTCTAGAAGCTCCGTGGTTTCTATGGATTGCACTTCCTGTCAGCACTATTCAGATATACTCCAGAAACTCTGAGGACTTATGTCCAGACTTGACATTTCTGTGTAAGAAAACAGGAGAGCCTGGAGAGATGGTTCTGTGGGGAACACATTTGCCATGTACATGCAAGGAGCTGAGTTCAGATCCCTAGGACCCAGGTGAAAGGTAGAGGTGGTAAAAGCATGACTGTAAGGCCAGTATTCCTGTGGCACGATGGTAGCTGGAAACAGGAGACCACTCACCCAGAAGCTTCAGGACAGCTAGCCTGGCCCGTTTCAGTGTGAACAACATGGAGGCCCTTTGTCAAACAAGCTGGATAACCGATGAAGCCCGTACCGAATGTTGTCCTATGACCTACACACGCTTATCATGGCGTTAGTGCTCCCCCTCACACACATGAAACAACACACACAGGCGCACATGCACACACCCACACATGATAATAAATATACAGAGCATAAGGTTTATATTATTACACAAACTCAGATTATCTGAGTTTCAGACAAACTCAGATATTTGTTGAATCTGTGAAAAAAAAATTGGTAAAATACCATATTTTTAAAATATTTTATATTTAAATTCCATTACATTCCAATGAAATGAAATTTGAGCTGGAAAATCAAATGTCAGTGTTTTGATTTTACCTAAAGGAGTAAACAGTTGGCTTACAGTGAGACTGGCTGCCGATGAGTGCTTGTCGTAAATCATGATTACCTGTTAGCTGAGATATATTGAGATTAATGTGTGCTTAACTATTTTCCCCACGCGTCAAAATCATCATAATTAAAAATTGAATCCAAGTTCCCTGACATGCTGAACTTGTGCTGATTTTTTTTTTTAATGAAGGAGAAACAACAAAAGAAAGTCAAAATAGGTTGTAAAGAGGGAATCTCAGCTGATAGACTCGTTTTCTCAAACAGAAATAGAAGCTGTGTCCCTGGTTGAACATTTGGCTTGGGCTGCATTGCTTTCAGGAAATGGTGTTCTGTCTCCATTCGGCTGGGTCTGGCTGCCGTAAGGATGTCAGATTGGATTTGCAGGCCAGCCAACAGACAGGTTTTTGATGGGATCGCCTACTGTTGCTGTGCTGAGAGATAGAGCGGCCCGTCCGGTCCTAATAAATTTAGTCATCCTCTCTCTCTCCCTCACTGGCCTCATCCTCTGAGGTGCAAGGGCCAGGGGCAGATGCAGTGTCTGGGAACATTTCCAAATTCCTCCTTAAAAAAGTTAAGCCGTAAACACGGGCCTCACCCGGCAAGATCCTTCTGTCTACCGCATAGGCTCCAGCTGCACAGAGAATATGGTTGGGATGAGCACCTCATTCTGCAGGAGAACTGCTCCCCAGGGCACTGGTGATTTTCCTGAGGAACGGAAGGGACACAGCTGATTTTCATGGTGTACCAGTAGCGTGGCGTTACCTAAGAGTCCCCTCTCTCTCTCCCCGTATATATAAAATGTGCACACGTGTGCATCTGAGGGTAGGCATGTGCAATGCATGTGCATGCCGGTGAGAGGTGAGAATGGAGTCAGAGTCCCTGGAGTTATAGGCAGTTGTGATCCCCACCCCCATTTGGGAGCTGGGAATTGAACTCCAGACTCCCGTAAGCACAGCCAGTACCTTTAACTACGTGCCGTGTCTACAGCCCTCCTTTTAATTCTTAAAACAACCTGCATAATTGGCTTGATCCTTTGGTTTAAATGATTTTATTTGGTTTGGTTAAATGATTTCATTATTTTATTGAGATGTGCCATCTATCTATAGTTATACATTTATCCAATTAGTGAGTTAGAATGGATGAGTTTTCAAAACTGCGCTTGTGTGTGGAGAGGAATGCGTGCAGAAGAACTCTCATGCTTGCGTGTGTGTGTGTGTGTGTGTGTGTGTGTGTGTGTGTGCGTGTGTGCGTGCATGTGCGTTGTGCATGGTATATAGGTCAGAGGACAACCAGAGGTGTCATTCACTGGGTACCCTCTATCCTGTCTTTGAGGTGGGATCTCTCATTTGACCTTTTACTTGCCAAATAGACTAGACGGGCATGCCCCCCTGCCTAGCTTTTTTTTTTTTTTTTTTAACTTATGAGTTCTGTGTTTTGAACTGAAGCCCTTATGCTTGCAGGGCAGGCACTGTCCTGATGCAAGCTGTCTTCCCAGCCCCTCAAAACCAACTTCCCACCTTTTTTAAAAACAGAGCTAAGTGTAACCAGTATTACTCGGGTCTTTGTTTAGTTCTGCCCATGCCTCACAAAAATACTTCACTCTCAGAAGGTGTGATGTGCAAGCGACTTGCCCAGAGACTGGGCCAGTTCAGAATACCAAGGGCTGGGGCTTGGCTGCACTGTGAAAGGGAGTTTCTGAAGACTGTTTCTTCAAAGTTAGGAAATATGAACTACGTAAAAGTAGTGATTCTGAGGAGGAGGAGACATGATCATACCCCCCGAAAGAGTTCTGAGCCAAAGGTGGTATGTTATCTGGAGTCATGTTTTGGTTACTCTGTTGGTAATAAGCTAAGTCCTACCAGATTCAATTCCTTGTTTATTTATTTGTCACTTCCCCAAGGACATGGGAAGGTAGATTTTCCTACCGGGAAATTAGTTCCATGGAGCCATAAGGAGCTAGCCTGCTGGGTGGGGCAGGCAGTTCAGCCCACATTTGTCCATATATTTTTTGCAGTTGCCTTGTTCTGTGTCCAATCTAACAAGCAAATCCCTGAGATCCCTAATAGGGCCTATCTGCTACAAATTCTTAATTTCAAGACAAACCAAGGTGTTCCTTATTTTTAGCTATTCTTATCAAATCTGAAACACTCACTAAAATATTTCCCAAAACATGAAGAAAAATGAAGTTTAAACACAAGGGCAAATATCTGGTAATGTGTAAATTATAGGTTTATTATAGACTTATCTGGTGGGAAATGCATGTCTTTTCCTCCTGCCCCATTAATGATGGGTCGTGTAATTGTGTTCATAATACAGTCCAGGCTCGGGAGCAGTGTGTTCAAGTCTCCATATAAACTCTTGTTGCTGCAGGAAAGAAAATGTGAATCTCCTGTACAAACACTCTTTCAAATTTATACCTGACAGCATGAAAACAAAGCACACAGATATATGTTCCAAACGCTACTTAATATTGAAAATTATTAAGATCAGGATTATGATTTCTACCTTCAAGCAAAATAATGAGTCCATTAAGCTTTGTTCTTTAAGACGTGCTTGCATTGTTTTGTTTTCTGATACGCAGGCTTTTCAAGGCTCTAATCCTTAGGTTGAATATATTGTAGTATCAGTCATTTATATCTCAGTGTAAATTCATGACCATGTATTAGCTCCTTTGTGTCTCTAGGAATAAAAGTGAGGACTTTGGGAGCAGAGTGAAGGCACTTATTGTGGATCTATGCTGCATTATTTATTAACTAAATGCAGTTGGACAAACTTATTCTTTTCTGTGGCTCCGTTTCCTTTCCTTTACCTTTGGCATAACTATGCTGTATTAATTCCTTGCAGGCAGGAGAGGATGAATGGAATGGGATAGTCCTGCTGATACACTGTGCCTGCACGCATGCTACCCTTCTCTCTTTGAACACCAACTGCAGGCTGCCACACAACAAATAACATTCAAATATATTCCATCCGTAGGAGCTTTTCGGCATGAGAATTTATATAGTATGGACCGAAAATCAGGGAATGTTGTATTCATCCACTCATTCTTATGGATATAAGATATAGTTGTGATGTGTTATGTCTGGGATAAGTTACATGTAGTTTTCTACACTAAAAGATGATGTTTGATTTTGCTACT